AGAAGGTCAGGGACACAGCAGTCAAAGAGTAATCACGCATCTGCTGCCCTATCTGCAAAGGCATACAGTATCTGTCTATCTAAAGGCTGGCCAGCAAGAACACAACACGAGTAGACAGCTGTATTTATGGATTTTGTTTTCTGAAAAATGCACTCATATACATTCTCAAACTGCACTCCTTTTAATAACAAAATCATAAACCCAGAAGAAAAGTGATTTCTGTAATAAAACACACAAGACTTGGAAGCATTACAGGAATGGTCAGGATCAAACATTTGGGTGGTTAAGATTTCTCTGGCAGCCTGCCTAAAGGTAAAAGCTTCCACAATTAGATTTTTGCTGAGAAGCTTCAGCAGAAAAATTCCTAGCAGAAAGTGTATTTAAGGAGATTGACATCATAATAGAGCTTCCAGCCAATACACCAAGAGATCAAGCATCAACCAACATGGCTGGTTTAAATCATGAGCACCTGCACACCAACTGCAACTCCAGGGTCAGAAGATCGATAAGACATATCTCTAACCAAACCGTTTATTCTTCCAAAGGAGTTTTGGTAGTAAAGATTTTCCACTCAAGGTACTGCAGCAACTCTGTCCATCTATTGAGGATCTTGACCACAAAACGCCAGGTAAGAGCCCATCACTTTATTTCAAGTATACAATTCAAAGTGAAGCACCACAGGCTGCAATTTACAGTTGAAACAACTGTAAGTCATAACAGATCTTAAAAGGTTTCTACTTGGAGAGCCAAAGGTATTTTAACTATCAGGAGGAAAAAGACCTCATAGACTAGGCTTTACACTGCTTGGAACTGAAAGATCATGTTGGTTTTGCATTGATACAGGTAGCAAAGGTGCACACTATTCCAGTGAATTCTCCCCTCTTCCATACCGCCTCTTTTCCCCAGCCCCAGATTGGAAGCTCGCCCACTTTTGCATAATTCTTATTAATTCACCTCCTAGGCAAGTGGCATCAAGGATGCAGCTATTCAATTTGTATATTTTACACATGTAGGTGTAATACTAAAATGATTCGACAAACTGGCTGAAAAGTTGCATTTAAATGAATGCAACAAAGAACACAAATCACCATCTAAATTTTACAAATAAAACATCAGGCTAGGTCTTAAGTAAGCATTGAAACATTAACACTTCCAAATCTCATATATATTCTATAGGCACCAGAAATTATGTAAACTTCAATCATTTGTCATTACCTCCATTTCAACTGACATTTTCCACAAAATTATCCTTTTAACATACACTTGAGCATCATTTTGAAACACACTTTCAATGGCATAATCTACCATTTTATCTTCAAGCTGTTTAGAACAATTCTCTAATATAGTGCAATTAAGACAAATCAATTCAAACCTTCTGTGCATTGCTAGCAATATGAAATTATAAAATGGGATAACATTGGGGACTTGCTTCTTCCAAATGCAGAACCATTCTGCGTGCACAGACGCACAAGACCCTCAAAGCCACTTATATTGAAAATACAAGAACTCTGAATTACCAGCATTATAATCCTGCCAGCATGAGGGAGGAAACAGTGTTCAACATACTTTGTGCCAACATTCTTAATATTAGAGCAATAAGCAGGCAAGCACAGCATGGCACCTTCTCCTATAATACACATACAAAGTGAACTCAACTAATCTGTTGAGCAAAATAAACCCTGTTGCGAATGGTAGGCTCAACTATGCCAACTCCCTGCTTGTTGGCCCTCCCAATTCTTCCCTCCACAAGCTGCAGATCATCCAGAAGTCTGTAGCTCATGTTCTCTCCTGCACTAGGCTCCGTGACCCAATCACACCCACCCTCACCCGGTTCCACTGGCTCCCCATCCCTCACAGGATCAAACTCAAAATCCTCATCCTCACCTTCAAGACCATCTATGGCCTTGCCCCCTCTTACCCCCTTATCAACCTGTCCATTCCATCTGCTCAGCAGCTCCCGGCCTGCTCCATGTTCCCTGCCAGGTCCACCACAACAACAACAACAACAAGATTCCATTTATAAAGCGCCTTTCACGTCAGGAGGACGTCCCAAGGCGCTGCACAGTTGGGTCATGACCCGAGCAGGGGGGAAATGGTCAGGGTGAGGGGAGGGAAGGGAGGGAGCGAGGAGGGGGGAAATGGTCAGGGTGAGGGGAGGGAAGGGAGGGAGCGAGGAGGGGGGAAATGGTCAGGGTGAGGGGAGGGAAGGGAGGGAGCGAGGAGGGGGGAAATGGTCAGGGTAAAGGGAGGGAAGGGAGGGAGCGAGGAGGGGGAAGAGAGTCGAGAGGGGAGCTGAAGGCTCGGTCAAAGAGAAAGGTTTTGAGACCGGCCTTGAAGGAGGAAAGGGAGGAAGCAAGGCGAAGGCACTGGGGGATGGAGTTCCAGAGCCTGGGGGCTGAGAGGCTGAAGGCCCGACCACCGATGGTAGGGCGGTTGGGGCGGGGGACGTGGAGGAGACCGGAGCCAGAGGAACGGAGGGTACGGGCAGGTAGGTAGGGGGATAGTAGGTTGGAGAGGTAGGAGGGAGCAAGGCCGTGAATGGCCTTGTAGGTGAGGATGAGGATCTTGAAATCAATCCTCTGGGGGATGGGGAGCCACCATCGGCAATTGGGCCTTCAGTTTCTCTGTCGCCACCCTCTGGAAATCCATCCCACATTCCCTTCGACTCATTCCCTCCCTCGCTTCCTTCAAGGCACACCTCAAGACCCTCCTCTTCAGCCACCCTCCAATCCTCCACCCTCCCCCCTACTCGAGCCCTAATCCCTGACTGTTCAGCTCCTTGGGATGTCTTCCCAACATGAAAGGCACTTTACAAATGTAATTTGTATTATATTGTAGTGAAGGATTTAGAGAAATGCATTACCTTTGTAGTTAAGTTGCTAACAGCCTTTCAATGTTTTAAAGCAGAAAGAAAGAGTTTTATTCATTGTACTCCAAAATTACAACTTGAATAAATAGGCAAAAAAGTATAGAGATATCCCTGGTGAAGCCTGAAGATTTTCCAAACATTTTATGAATTTGGCAATAGTCGTCAAAGTGTAAAAAATGAAGGGGGAAGAAGGAAAGCGATCACAATAATGGCGATAGACTCAATTAAAATTCTGTACAGATTTGCATCAGGCCATGAAGTCAAGGCATTTGCCAATTATCAACTATTCATGCAACAAATAGTAAACAGATGTAAATTTAGAGGCCTCAGAATAGGTTGCATCTCATCTTTGAAACAGAATTCAACAGTTCATTTTGAAGGAAAGGAAGCTATAATTCAGAGACTTGAAAATGAATTGCCCAGTTGGCGACTGGAACACGTACATAGCTGTCTCCTACTCAACTATGTCATTAACTCAACAGCATCCATCAGCTGTAACAGCAAGATTTATTCATCCATTGAAGGCAAATCCAGGTATTCTATTCTCCCTCCTCTTCTTCCTGAGAATGTCAAATCAGACTCAGCTTTTCCTATTATACTAAACCCCTGACTGCCAAGACACTCAATACACAAGTGTAATATTTGTTGTTGTTTTATTCAAACCTGGAACTCCAGAATGAGGCACTAAATCTAACTGTTGCACTATTGTTCTTTAAAAAAACACAAGTCATGAATACCCTTCATTTTAAAAATGAAGTTTCAGAGAGCCAAAGACAGTATTAAAGAGTCTTAAAATCTCCAATGTGATATATGTGGTGAATTTACTTAAAAATCTTATGCAATTTTCTCAGACGAGTATAGGCAGACAATCATTCACAAATTACACTCAAGCCCTCATATTTACTTCAGCTAATGACACTAACATTTTATTTCAATTCCTTTTGGACTGTAAAACATACAATTGCAGTCAAGTGGAAAGTTGATCACCATTACAGTCACTTAACCACTCACAGGGTCTGCCAACATTAGGAAAAGTTACAATAATTTAAGTGTCATATTGTCAAAGCTGAAACTCTTGTTGCAAGTTATTAAAATATAGGATTGTTGAAGCTGTATCAGTATAACTTCCCATTTTATTCTAGTCATGGAATTTAAGATACTGTACCAGGCAAAATCTTCTGAAAAACTCCAAATACTTGCTATAAATAATTCACAGCTCGTAGTGCTATTTATTTGCAATATTTCAGATTAAAAGAGTTGATTCTGAAATACAAATTCTGACAATTTGTGCCACATCCATTAAGCACCACACTGAATCAAGAATTTAGCCACCCAGACCTAAACAACTCGCCTCAACCCACTTTGCTTGCAAATCATTTAACCACTCTTCCCTCCCACCAACTTGTGAGATTTTTTTTGTCAAACCAGGCAGGATTATCAAAAAATGTTCCATTTTCTATGAAAGATTTTTGACAGCTTCAACAGCTTCTTGCATACCAAATCCGAGCACTAAAAAATACATATAATATTGCACCAGAATGTGCCATTACGCATAAACTCATGAGGGAAATAGAACAAAAGATAGCCTAGGATTCAAATGACCAATTCTAATGTTCATTGTACAGCAGGGTCTTTAGAAATCATGGGCTAGTGAAAACATTAAGTGATGCACATTATAACCAGGAAGCTTTTTAATCCAATAACGAAATTATGAACAAAACGTGACATTCAAGAAGTGTACAGTTTCTTCCGATTTAAAGTGCTGTCCTGCACTTTCCATCATCTCCGTTTTTTCTCATTTAAATTGTACCATTCAACATGAAAGGTGGATGAGGTGGTCATGACACTTTGAAGTTAAACAGCTAAATGGTTAGCCATTACTTGGCAGTCAGTGGAATGAAGAACATCTTCATTACTTACTTGTGCCACTAAAAGTTGATACGCTTCCCATTTTAACTAGCTGCGTTTGATATTTTCCCTCCCTGATGGATATTATAGTTCCCCCCCCACCCCCATGGAATTTCTCCTGTAAAACAATGTAACTAAACAATCATATTTTACTTCTGTCTTTTTGGTAAAATTGAAGGGCTGGCATAAAGATTAAAAAGTTGACAGAAACTATCCAACTTACATTGCCCATGTATTCAGAAAGCAAGTCCTGCAATGCCTGTCTCACTGCATTACACTCAGCCACGATGCGTTCACGTCTGTCGTCACGTGTGCAAGAGGAGTCTGCCATTAGTGCTGCCCCACTAATGATGCTCTCAAGTCGCTCTTCCAGAGATGGTCTGAAGCGTTCCTCACTGAAGCTCAGGGGATCCACAATTATTTGTTTCTAAGTGGGAAAAGCAAAAAAAGTTTAACAGAACCATTCTGCCTTAGCAGCCTTACCTTTACTCCCAAGATCTTCATTTTTAATTGATGCATTCTCTGGTGATTCAGTTATTATGGGATTACCTGCCCATGGATCAGTTCACACTGCATGGTTTTAAATTGCAAGAGAATATTGAGTGCTGTCCTGCATTTACATTTACGAATGCTCACATTTCTGAACTACACCAATAGTAGCAAAGTCACCATCATCCTTCAAACATAGCCTAAGGCTTAAAAGCACTATCTCCATTCTCCCCAGTACAAGAATTCATCCTTGGCTTCTGCAGGCACATTAATTCATTCTAGGATTTATTCTTAATTATATACTTAAGCAGATTTTGAGTACTTCCTCACCCTTAAAATTAAGGTAGACTATTTTATCCAGAACATTTAAAACTTTGAAAATCCACAAACAAGGCATACATTTTATGGTAACGTGGTCTTTAAGTAGCTGGGTCAAACTCAATTAGGCACTTTACTTAGTGTGACAAAAGCAATTTGAAAGGATTGATCATAAAAACGCTACAATTTTTTAAAAACAGATTACACATTTTTATGGCAGTTCCATGATATCCCCCTTCTTGCACACAAGTGATAAGGCTACCTATATCTACCCATTCCTGCATGCAGAACGTTGACAGCGTTGACCTGATTATGTACACATACCCTGCAAACTGATACATTTCCTAATAAACCCACATAATGTTTGAATAATCTCTCCTGCAGATATTTAGTCCTTGCTGTGACACTATTGTGAACTATTGCTATCGGAATAAGGCATTAAACCAAAGGTGTTATCTGCCTCTCCTCAAGTAGATATTGAAGATCCCATGGCCCTAGTCAATAAGAAGACTCCACTGGTTCCCCATCCCCCAGAGGATCGAGTTCAAGATCATCGGTGGCCGGGCTTTCAGCCTCTCTGCCCCCACACTCTGGAACACCATCCCACAGTCCCTTCGCCTCGCTTCTTCCCTTGCCTCCTTCAAGGCCGGTCTCAAGACCCTTCTCTTTAACCGTGCCTTTGGTCTCCCTCCCACCTCTCTGCCTTCCCTCACCCCTACACCACACCCCCTGCCCCATGCTCTGGCCGTGACACCTGACTGTTCAGCGTTTTGAGATGTCCTCCCGACATGAAAGGCGCTCTATAAATGTAATTTTGTTGTTGTGTTGTTGTTCTCGTGGACAGTAATCCTCCAGACATTGGTCATTCAACATGGCTCTTTGCAAGACCTTGATGTCTGCGAAATGCTTTGCTGAGTTGTTTACAAAAACACTTGACATTTACTGTGTCTTGTACTTTGAGATGCAGCATAAGACACGATAAAGTCAGCAGAGTACAAAGAGAGAAACACCATTGGAAGGAACATTTACTTAAGGAGAAATAAAATATTTAAAAGGTACTGCAACAGATCGAGCCAAGAAATTCCAGTTCCAAAATCAGAACAAAAATCCACTGAATACTCTTAATAGAGAAAAGGAAAAAGAAACTTCAATAAGTTCTTCAGAGAAGAGCTAATAGTTATACTACTAGCTGACAGGTCAATGCTGCAATGATTTGCTTAGCTCAGCAACATCCACATATTGCATGTGAACTTCAATTTCACTTTTGCAAGAGAAGTTTTAAAAAGGTTCCATTAAATGTTTTACATCAGCACTTCTAGAACAGAGTACTGTGAATTGGCCACAACTGTCTGAATTTCTCAAGTAGCTGAAAAATACCTTGTATCCAATGTAATCACATATTAATAAACTCACCCCCAAAAGTACTTTTTAGCATCTCCAGATAGGTTCAGTTTAGCACAAATCCTCACATCCCTTCACAATAATAATTTTAGATGCACAAGATAACACTCATCACTTAATATTCAAAAAGTGAGCAATTTTAAAAATCTTTTGTTCAAGCATAAGATTGCCATAGCTTATAATCCCCCCCACCACCACCAAAATTCAACACTCTTGCCAAAACCATCAAATCATTCCTGCAATAGAGCAAATATATAATGCTAGGGTATCTATTGAAGTTCAATTTAGAGAATCGTGCTCACATCCAATTTAAGAGGCCAGTGCAGCTTTCTCTAAATACAACTTTTGAGCAATTAGTTAAGATTTAAGCATATCTGGATATTTGTTGGGACTGAAGAGTTATTTAGGTGTAATCAACCAATGCTGAAGATTTCAATTCTATGACCATTTAACCAAACATGTTGCCATAGCAGATCCTCCTGGTAGAACATGTTTAATATTAAGAAAATGAAAGGCCTTTTTAAAAGCAAAATTTAAAATTCAGAATATTTTCTGCTCATTAAACCTTGAAGTGTAGTTTACACTCATTAAAAAAATACACTAAGACAGACAGACAACATACAAATCCATTCCCTTTTCCCACCTCCACTCCCGTAGTCCTCTTGGAACTTCTTGCAGCTCTATCCGAAAATACAGCCAGGGCTCTATCCGACAATACAGCCAGGGCTCTATCCAATATACTATCCCCCCAATTTTGATGATGGATTTAAGTTAGAAAGAAAAGCCCTCAATTGCAGATATCAAGAGGAATCTTGTCAGTCAGTTGCACAGTAATAAGTAGGCAATATAAAAGCATCACTATCATCTTTTCCCATTTAATTCCCATTAAGCATTCCAGAACTTGCTTGCACTGTGCTGGTTATTTCAGCAAAGGCAACCAAGACTGCATTACCATAATACTATCTGCATTACCTGGCACAATGAATAGAAAGTTAACTGCACTAATTTGTATGGTATCCGAACAGCTGCCTCTGTCCTCTGAAGCTTATTGGCTGCTTGAAGAAGTTTTAAATTGAAATATACTCACATCAAATCTGTTCAAAGCATCAGCGAGTTCACCAGCACTACTTTGCTGTCCCAGGTGGGCATCTTCGGATGCAGTGGCTTGAGCTGCATTTGAAATTCCTGTAACTGCCTGCGTCAGCTGCTTGTAGATCAGATCCCGATTAGCTTTATAAGCAGCCACATCTGGGTGTTGGAGGCAAGCCTGCGAAGCAGTGTAGAGCATAGGGATATTCTTCTGCAAGACCCCTCGTGCTGCAGCCATCTGATCCCTGTGATGGATGTCCTTCAATTCCTTAAAAAAGTGAAAATGTTCACTTACATCATGAACTCACACTGGATATTACATTAGCATCAATACTATATTATCATTTACTTCAAATTCAGTTGCTTTATTTCCCCAAAGGAGGCGCTTTGAATTTTTCAACCTTGAGTGGCATGATCTGCAATGCATGGAGTAGTCTGGACTTCACACATTAATATGTTAACTTTCTGAGTAAAATTCAGTTTTTCTTCTCAACAGAAAATTGTACATTGATCAATTCCTGCCAGCTAGGCAGGCTTACATCAATAGAATCCTACCCAATACCCAGAGGCAGACCATTTTTCAGTGCAAGAGGCCAGTTCGTCAGTGGCGGAAGCCAGGTGCACAACAGTTAGCAAGAGTCCACACAGCGCCAGCGGTTTAAGTGAAGCCACATGATACTTGGGTTTTAATGGGGGTTGCCCTGCATTTGGATTTGTGTCTTGCTTGCTGTAACTAGCCTTTCCAAAGAACTGGAGCTTGGGCAGAGAATTGAGAGAAGATTGGGAAGAGTCTCTGCCTCTGCTGAAAGGATCCCCCATGTTACTAGCTAGCAAAGTACCAGGATATAAAAGGTGAGTTGATTACATCATATTCACAACTGCATGAAAAGAAAATCTCACTCTGGTCACAGATATTTATCTCAAGTGTGTTTTTTTATACCTCGAATTGATAATTTCCAATTCTCTCCTTGCTTACTATTTATACCTGCTGTCTTTTGGCTGCCATAAGATTCAGCTTGTCCACTTCTGGTTTGAGTGCTTTGTAGTGTATTCCAAGCTCTTGCTCATTGTTGGCATTTCTCACTTTAACAAGGGTTTCCTCCACCTATATTTACAAAATAAATTATACCAAAGTAATTGCATACACATTTCCTTAACCCTCTATTTATATAAATATCAAAAGGCATACTACACAAAAACTCTAAACAGTTTAGATAAAAGGAATGTTTCCTTTAGGAAAAAAGGACTCCACACATCAATGATAACTTTCAGGCAGGATACAAACATTCAATTTTTCTTCTCAACCAGTAAATTGTACTAATGTTAATTTCTGCCAGCTGGGCAGGCTCACGTCAATAGGATCCTACCCAATATCTAGAGGTTGAAACTTCAGCCAAAAGGAATTTTTTTCCATGTTGTTAAAATACCCCAGAAACTTCCTGCTGCATTTTCAAGAAGACCGAATAAAAATCTTTCTTCTTTGTACAAGTTTAATATATGTAGAGCCCCAAAAAAATCATTTAATTAAAACATTAAATACAAAAGATTAGAACAGCTAGCTAACTGGTGTACATTAAAACTTAAATGCAAACAATTGTCAAAATAACTTACTACTTTCAGCTGTACAAGGAGCTTGTAAACATCCGCCATATCAGCCAAGATAAGGAGACGAGTGACAGCCGACAGCAAAGCTCGGGCAGCCCGCACCATGTTCCCACGCTTCATAGAAGAACAAGGATCATCTGCAAACTCTGATGAAGCACTTCTCATTGATTCACCTGTAGTACAACGATTATACCGAGAATAATTACCTACAATAACATTTTAATTCAAGTTGCAGTATTAGATCCATTTATGAAAGTTAAGAGTGTATTTGAACCAGGGCAAGGCACCCTTCCACCTCAAAGTACATTAAGTTCATTTTTGCTTTAGGAGTGAACACTTGAATGATGTCAATCCCATTATGGTTCTGCTGGTGCTTCTTAAATTCTGGTATCTTTCTCTCTTTGCCTGGTACTTCTGCTTGTTTGGGCGGGTTTGGCGATCAGATCTCCATTTATCTTTTTTAACAGAATGCTACACATTGCATTCACATCCCGAGAGCATTAACAGCAGCACCTATAAATTAATGGTCGCGTCACTCTGAACACATGATTGTGGGAGACCTAGGGGTGTTACTTGCCTAGCTGCTTACCATGTCAAAACATTATGAGGCAACAATAAACAAGGTAAACAAAAGGGGATGCTATACTGTCAAGTCAGTTGGGCTCAAACTGAATCAGCATCTGGAGTATTAGATACCGTTTTTGTTGCCAGGTCAGACAACACCTGACAGATACTTCTGAAGTATCTATCTATAAATCACTCTTTAACATCCTAATTTATTCTTCACCTGCACTCCCCTATGATCCTGTTCTCTTGCCTCCCCCTCCCCACCAAATCCTTGCATATGACATAGGCTTGTGATTTTCTACTTCAGTGAAGCATATCCCAATTACTGCACATGCTATAATGGAAGTAAAAGATGGGCAATAAATCAAGTATGATTGCTACAGCAGACAAGATTGATACATACACCCAAACAGCAAGGCAATTAAAGACGAGGCTGCCAGAATGATATTCATTACAACAAAATGACTTGGCTCTAAATTCCACACAGCCGCAGTTTCCTTTTTGTGGAAAGCAAGACTCTCCAACCCACTTCCCTCCATGAGTTAATTTCAGTGGAAATACAATGTCCTATAGACTCACTCAACTGTGGTCAGCACTAAAAGTCCCTTCCACTTCTGCCTTTGTTTTGCTGAACTACAAAACGTTAAAAATCACAATTGCCGCCTATTGTATTCGTCAGAGAGTCACAAAGTTAATATTCTTTTTATCCGGTGTACACTAATCTACGTCAAAACTGGCTGAACTCCAACTTTGGAAAGTTAATGAAACAGTTAAGTTAGTAATGCTGAATGCCACTATACTGTCAGTGACTGAAAAAAACATTAAATGCAAGCATCCATTACTCACTTTTAAACAAAAAATACTTAAGCAACAAATGCAGATGACTTTTAAAAAATCAACATTTTATTTTTTCAATTTATATTTTGTCTGAACACTAGATGTTGAAAATAATAGGATATTGGATTACTCAGGTCTGATCATCATTAGTATAGAGGTATCAATCAGGCTCAGAAATCCATGCTGATTAGTACAGTAACTCCCTCAGACACCATCAACAGCACTCATTCAGAAATGTAAGCCTGTTGTTGACTTCAATCTATTTACCCATGTATGAAACATTTCCTAAGGATGAGGTCAATGGAGTATCCAATAGCTGGAGGGGGGTGGTGAAAACTGGGTGTGGTAGACCAGAAATAAAGAACAAAAGGGTTTTCATTTTAACTGTTGTTATTTGACTGTGCACAAGAAAACACAAACAGAAAAAAAATCACTACAACTTGCAGTATTCAACAAGTTGGTGAATAGGTGTGAATAAGCTGAAACGAGGGATCTTAACTAAAAAAAACTGCAAGGAATGCTCCCTTACCAACACACAGCTTTCAGAGTAGTAGGGCATGAACAAATGGTGGTAATCAGAAACTTCCCAAGCTGGAACAAAGAACACTGCTTCACCACAGGGAATGGGGAATTAAGGGCATCGGCCAGATAACTACTGGGAACCCCTTGCAGACAGTTTTAAGTTTCCATCAGGAAAGCCTAGAAACATCATTCTTTTGAAGCTACCATTTATGATCTGTAATACAAAGGTTAAAGTCTTAGTAGTGCCTGAATTAAGATGAATCTTTCCCCTAAATTTCACAATAAACTCCATACAAAAAACATCTGTGCATGAATAAAAAGAACACCGATACCAAGCTATACAAGATAGTTTAATGAGATTTCACTGCAAATCAAAATTTGATCGATCCATATTTGAACTGGCCAGTTCCAACAGCTCACAACTGTCTGGGAAAATACTGCACTACAAAGCTCACTTGTTTACTTAACAGACCAGACAGACAACAGATTATATCTTTTTTTAATATGAAACTCAATTGGATGATCTGGCATCTATATTACTTCAGTGTCTATGAAGTGTTCTTTCCTCAAATATTTAAGTTTCTAAAAATCAATGTTTCAGTCTACAGATGTGCTAACTGGCAGATAATCCTGTCCATAAAACCTATTGGGCCTTTATTTAAAATCCTCACATGATTGGACTGATACAAGTACTCTGAATCACAAATTATCCTCATTGACACTAGGCTTCAGCAATTCTATTGTTTGAAACTGTATTCCTCTGAATTTAGAGTACAAGGAATCATTCTGCCATTTTAGATTTGATCTTGATATGCTTCAGTCAGTTGCAAAAAGAATATAAAAACTTGAAATGCCTACTTTTCTACAACAGCTGTTCATTACCAAATGTAGAGGCTACAAAAGCATACAGACACTGAGCAGCAGCTGGTGAGAGTCAGTAATAGACTATGCAACGTAAGGAATTAATCTATCTCACTACTCTTTCCATTCGCTGTCTAGCTAAAATGGGGCTTTGGTTGCAAAGCATATCACGTTCAAATCTGAAATTAGAGACACACAAGAAATTGAAGCTCACTTGTTAGAACAGGATTGCAGACTGAACCAACATAAATTTAAAAGCATTTCTCTTGAAATGCCTATCCTACAATTGGGTATAAAAAAGCCATTATTTAAAAACATGGCAAAACTTTACCCACACTGAAGCATTCAGGATCTTAGTTAAATATCCTTAAATTCCCATGTAATAAAAACTGTCTTTTTGCAAATGGAGAGTAAACAACTTTAAATAAAAGTCTAATCCAAGTGTATACTCCTTACTTAATCTTCACGGACCTGCCCTTGCCTGGTTCGATTCCTAGCTCTTTCACCGTCTTCACTTTGTTGCTTCTAGCGGTTTCTCCCTGCACTGTCACGTCTGGCGTCCCCCAGGGCTCTGTCCTTGGCCCTCTCCTCTTTAATATCTACATGCTCCCTCTTGGTGACATCATCCGCAGACATGGGGTCAACTTCCATATGTATCCGGATGACACCCAACTAACTTTCTGCTTCCACCCTCAACTCCAGGACCACTGCTGTCCTGACAGACTGCCTGTCGGACATCAAGTCCTGGATGAGGGCAAACTTCCTACAGTTGAATGTGAACAAGACTGAGGCCCTCCTGATTGGCTCACGCCAGCATCAACCTCCATGGCTGCACACGTCAACTCACCAAGCCAGTTAGGAATCCAGGTGTCTTGTTTGACCCTCAACTGTCTTCTTCCCCACACCCAAGCCATGACCCGCTTTGCCTTCCCTCACCTCCGTAACATCACCCAACTCTGCCACTACCTCACCCCTCAGGCCGTTGAAACTCTTGTTCATTCCTTCATCACCTCCAGGCTCGACTATGCAAACAATCCTGCTTGTCGCCCTTCCCAACTCCTCCCTCCACACGCTGCAAATAATCCAGAATTCTGCAGCCCGTGTGCTCTCCCGCACCAAACTCCGTGACCCCATCTCACCCATTCTCGCCCGACTCCATTGGCTCCCTATCCTTCAGAGGATCCAGTTCAAAATCCTGGACCTCACCTACAAAGCTCTCAATGGTCTTGCCCCACCCTATCTCTGAGACCTCCTAACCCCCTACCAACTCACCTGCTTCCTCCGCTAAGCCAGCTCCGGCCTGATCCATGTCCCCCGACCCACCATTAGCGGGAGAGCCTTCAGCCACTCTGCCCCCAACCTCTGGAATTCCATCCCCCAATCACTCCGCCTTACCCCCTCCTTAGCCTCCTTCAAGTCCTGCCTCAAAATCCTCCTCTTCGACCATGCCATCGGCCACCCCACTTCCCCCCCCCAACCCTAAAATGCTGTACTCTCCAGTGCCTTGGGACATCCTCCCGACGTGAAAGGCGCTATACAAATATAATCTTGTTGTTGTTGATGTATAGCATTCCAAGATGCTATATCGCATGAAGGGCATTGTATAAACGCAAACTTTGGTTTTATATACTATTTGTAATGGACTATAAATACTGGATAAAGTGGCTTGTAACTTCAGTGGAAAATATTGTACGTGAAAATATATTGCATCACCAAAAGGGGGTCTTCTTGCAGTGAACACAGGTCAACAATATTGGTCAGTACCTATTCATTGTCAATTATGCAGAATATAAAAGTATAATAATATGCTGAACAATTATACCACATATTTGGTGGTGTCATGTGGCATACTGTACATGGACAGACATAAAGTTCAATACCAGAGGCAACTTGTTTTCACCGAAGAAAATATCTAACCTTATACCAGTGTATGCATTCAGTTTAATTCAAATTACAATTACTCGCTGCTTTCCTAAGACAAATCATTCATGAATCAATATAGCCAACTGAATGTTAAAAAACTCAATACATCTTTCTACATACGTTTTATACGAGTAAATATGTTAGCTAATTTTGTACTCAACCAATTTTTGTACTTTCTGATCATATTATGGTTATCTTCCAACAGGATCGAATACAATATTTTCCAAATACGTTTAATCATGTTCATATAAAAGTCTTAAAGAATACTTTCAGGAGGAGGATTGATTTCAAGATCCTCATCCTCACCTACAAGGCCATTCACGGCCTTGCTCCCTCCTACCTCTCCGACCTACTATCCCCCTACCTACCTGCCCGTACCCTCCGTTCCTCTGGCTCCGGTCTCCTCCACGTCCCCCGCCCCAACCGCCCTACCATCGGTGGTCAGGCCTTCAGCCTCTCAGCCCCCAGGCTCTGGAACTCCATCCCCCAGTGCCTTCGCCTTGCTTCCTCCCTTTCCTCCTTCAAGGCCGGTCTCAAAACCTTTCTCTTTGACCGAGCCTTCAGCTCCCCTCTCGACTCTCTTCCCCCTCCTCGCTCCCTCCCTTCCCTCCCCTCACCCAGACCATTTCCCCCCTGCTCGGGTCATGACCCAACTGTGCAGCGCCTTGGGACGTCCTCCTGACGTGAAAGGCGCTTTATAAATGGAATCTTGTTGTTGTTGTTGTTGAGGGGAGAAAAATAATTCTGACCAGTAGGGAATCTTTGGTTCAACAAAAAATCTGGATCTCCAGAAACTATTGAATTATGGGCCCTTCTCAGCAAATCTTATCTTTTTAATAGAAAAGCATTCTTGCTCACTGCATCCTCCACTTATCTCAACAACAACAACTTGCATTTATATATCATCCCTCACGCAAGGTAACATCCCAAAGCACTTGGAAATCCTCAAGCACTCCATCCGGCGTGAAGGGTGCTATATAAATGCAAGTTGTTGTTGTGAAAATTGTAATGTCTCCTTAAAATATTTGGCTGTGCTTTCATTTTAATGCAAGCAACCGAGTGAAATACATTCACAGCAGGGAAACATTTTATCAAATTATCTAATAACAAGGTATCATTTCCTAAGGCTCAAGTGCAGTCTTTTGTCTGTCACGTCACATCAGAGAATCCACATGAGTCAATAACAGTTTAAATAATTGATTGTACCTTTGTCTACAATAAAAGCAGCAGAGCACTTCAGAAAAAAACAGCTTTATCCTACATTAAAAAATAAATCTACCCATGTGTTTATTGGTGGACTAATGAAAATGAGAGCTGGACTTCACAATGTCACTACTTAAACCAAGTCCTAGATATAAATTCACACGACAAAACAGTGTTAACTACAATAGCTATCAGGGAAAGGGTTCACTTTTAGCTCATTTGTACAGTAACTACACCATTTAATGTAAATCAGATGAGTTGGCAATGACTTTGATTATTCACAGGAAAAGGGTTAAATATGCATTCACTCAATGAGTACACTAGAATGCTAGATGATTGCAGTACAACAGATAACTGCCCAGACATGTATTACAGAATGCAAAAGATAACTGCCCAAACACGTTTATTTCATCAGAATATAAAAGCACTCCTGTTCATATGTATAACCATATTTGGAACAATACCAGGAAGCTCTCACACTGGAGGAAAACCACCTACATATCTGACAAAAACATCGCCATTTCTGACCTCAGTTATACAGTACTCACCTTGCTTACGCACATCTTCCACAGCTGCTATCAATTCCTCTTTCAGGTACTGACTCTCTTGAGCAATCTTCTCACCCTTTTCCAGGAAATTCTGTGTTGCCTGTTCTACAGATGCAGCCAAAACATGGGCTTTCTTAGAGCGCCCTTTCTTCTTGTTAGACGGTCCTCTGTTGCTGGTGTTAACCAAAGTTGTCACCTGGAAGAACAATTTTACTTTTATAGACTAAACAGATATCTATTTTACACCATCAATCTAATATATTCATGAAACAAAAACAGAAGTCGCTGGGAATATTCAGCGGGTCAGGCAGCATCTATGGAGAAAGGAAAGTCCATAGATGCTGCCTGACCCGCTGAGTGTTCCCGGCGACTTCGGCCTTTGTTTTCAGATTTCCAACATTCGCAGTATTTTGTGTTTTTTTTAATATATTGATAACACCATTACACACTTTTATTCAATTCTTCCTTCATCCTCAGGAAGTACTAACATGTTTGCTGGCTACCTTTCAGTGCATCAAGTCATCTATCTTTACATATGTACCTAATCTGTGTTTGAGCAAGACTACTCAGCTATGAGCATCATCAAAGGCTGATCCTGTCCTCACTGGATGTCCATGAACATAGACTTTCCAAGAACAGAGACCTAGATAAAATTTATCCCCAATAGTGTTGAAGCCAACTGTAATGCAACCATTAACAACCTGGCTGAGAGAAGATAAATGATAACAGAACCATGATCAAATCTGGGAATTTCTGATGTGATTCAGTTCCACAATGAGTCATGCTATTGCCAAATAGTGTAAGGTATCAGCCTGACTCAGTTGGTAGCAGTCTTGGCTCAGAGTCAGAGATTGTTGGTTCCATCTTCATGTCAGGACTTTGAGCTCAGAGTCCAGGTTAACATTCCAACACGGTGCTCAGACTCTGCTGCATTGTCCCATCTGTCTGTTCAGATGGACATCAACAATCCCGTGGCATTATTTGAAAATAGAAGTGAGTTTCTCCTGACATCTTGGCTAATAATCCCACCGATAACTGTTATAATCATATTCTAGCATTATATAAATTACCACTTACCTATAAGATTTGAAAAATATCTTCTACATTAAATCAATTCCCTTCCCCATGATTGCCAAAGATTACCTCACCAAATCACATACTGACTTCTTAGCAAGGGACAAAAAAAAATCTAGGTTTACATTGACTGCTCAATGACAAGGGAGATCTCTGATCTAAAACAAATCATTTTATATTATGGGGACTACATGTAGGAACATTAACAATAATGCTGCCCGAAGCAAGGGGCTAAATTAAAATATTTTTACCTGTGTAACCAGTGGTTCTAACAGACGCTCCACTGCCAAAGTCCTTATCTCCAGATTTTTGGGGTCCCATTTGAAGTTAATATTTTGAGTGTTGATAGTCGTCATATTTGCTTGCCTAGTTAAAAAAACGAAACTGGTTATATACAACACATATACATTTTTTCATTGTTATACATTATAACATTAGAAGGATACATTCACTCAATGCCACATCGCTGAAATTCAAACCGCAATAGCACCAAGTTTTAAACCCTCCCCCCACCATACTAATTATCTAAACTCATACATTATTATATAAAAATTGTCATTTTTTGAAGGTCCCAGTGAGTACCATGAAACCATGACTTCAAAAGATAAGGCAAGATTTAATGACTTCAAAAGATACAGGAAGAAACTGAACAAAAAAAATGAGGACCAAACTGGGAAGGAACTTGGTATGAAAATAAATATTTGGAGGACTGGATTCTCAATTTTAATTAGTGACTAATGCAGCAAAATGCATTTAATATTAATAGATACTGGTTAGGTTTCATATTGTGTGGACTGAGTCACCACTTGTGTATAGAATTGAACATTATGCACACATCACAGAGCATCAGACCATTGCACATTCCTTTGTCAATAACCAGGCAACTGATAAGTACTGATCCCTCTGACCCTTTCACTCCCGAATCACACACAATGAACCACTCCCAAGGACAAAACAAAGCAAATCTATACACTAATTATTTCTGGGATTCCAATCTACATGTGCTTGGAACAACAACTAATCTGATATTATCCTTAAAAAACGTTAAATCTGCTATCTTAATCAAGAATTCACCCACAGCTCCTCTTCTCCCCTTAATCTATTCAAAATTGAGATATTCATGACTAATCCAAAGCACATGAGAGAACCACCAGGGAAAAGAGCAAATGGAGGTCAGCCTTATTCACAGAAAAAGATAGGCAGTCATCCTTGGATCTTGTGCACCTATTAACATCAACACATATAAATGACTATCCTTCTTGGGCGGCGGTGGTGGTAGTGGGGGGTGGAGAAGAGTTCAGCAGAGGTCTCCATGGAACTGAACTGGCTCCAAGGTGACATGCCCAGCAACAGTATGTTGGAATAGAGTCAGCCCTCTGTGAAAGTCTCAGTAGTCCGGTTACTGAGCCAGACAGGTCCACAGTATTTCAGGGCACTGCTGATGACAGCTCAACCAGCCTGGCTCATCGGCAAGACCTGGAAGGGCAGTCACTGAGGGCCGGGAGTCATCCCACTCAACTCCTGTTAACCCTGCAAGACAAAGCCCTAACAGGTAAGGTGGCCTAGTTGGAAAAGCAATAGGAAAGCTTGCCAGACAGCAATATCCAATGGCAAGCTTTGCAGTTTTAATAAAAATAATCTTCTATGATTTTATGATTCTATGATTACAGTCTGTTCATTAGACAATTGATCCTCGTTCTGAAATTACACAAGATTGAAAATATAATCTAGAATGTAAATGACCACTACAAAATGTTCCACTAAGTAATTTGATTCAATGTCAGATATTTATAATAATAATAATCCTTGCATTTGATATAGCGCTTTTCACATCTTCGAGATGTCTCAAAGCGCTTCACGGAATATACTATAAAGTGAATTGACTGTATATTTGTGGGTGATACACAGCAGCCAATTGCGCACAACGGTGTCCCACAAACAGTCGTGGATTGAAGCGAACAATTTTTATTAATTTTTTTTGAGGGATCATTATCAGGGGTGTGGAGTAAGGAAACTTGCCCAAGGTTTCTCCCTGCCGGGAATCGAACCCAGGTCTCTCACTTGCAAGGAAAGTGCACTAACCACTGAGCTACAGGACTCCATGGACAACCAGCTAATCAACATTTTACCTGGTTAAACGCACTCCGAGATGCTGCCCTACATGGAGGGAGCTATATAAGTGCAAGTGGTTGTTGTTAGATTCCAGCAGTATCCTAACGCAAACTCTGGGGTCCCCAAGCCTTGGCTCTTGCTAACCTGTGCCTAATACTTTCTGGAATTAGGTAAGCAGGAAATGTCCCTCCGGGGAAAGAGTGTACATTCCATTCCAACAATCTATCTTTGCGATTTCCATATGTAGATGGAATGCATGGATATCTCAGTTTGGTTTTGGATACTTTTAAGCAAGATGATGGGTTTCCACATGTATCAACATATAAATGTTGATACATGAGCAGAATAGGTCAAAAATTCAACTGCCTTGCTGGCCAGAAAGCTACAAAGGAAAATATAAATAAGGCAAAAGAATAACATGAACTTTTAACCAGCTTCGTTATACACAATCACAAGTTACAAAACCATTCACCAATCCAACCCATTTTCTCTTAAAATGTTGTTCTAAAGGGTGCTATCTTATTCTGATTGCTTAGTTCACGAAGTGACGATTTCCAGGCTAACTTGTACCAGGTATTCAACAGTAAACAACTGAGAAATTTAGTGATTGTAAGGTTCCAACCTCACTGAAAGATCACCTTTTAATCATTCATAGAAGATTGTAATGAATAAAAATTAGGTATTTTGCAGCAACATTTAATGCATTTAACATTTAATAGTTAAAAAACATCTTCAGTGCAAAATAAATGCAAGGAATAAAGTTCAGATGAATACAAATCGATCAATGCCTCAGAACCTAACTTTGATCCATCCATTCAGATTATTTATGCATTAAAAGCTCTGTCCTTTCATATGGATATTCAAACTGGTAATGGAGAGCATCACATTTGTAAGATTTTCTATAGTTAATTTACTGAGATAGTACAGTAGTCAGTTTTAGTAGATTCAACCTGTGTTTTAAATAATCACAATAATACTATTTACTTTATATACCAACTTGTTAGCTCTTTCCCAATCTCACAATGTGAAGTTACATTTGACACTACTCAGCCCAACTCTCTAACCTAATTACATCCCTCTAGATGTGGTCAGTTTATTCTGTTAACTCAGTTTGGTACAATCAGCAAACTAAGAAGTTGGTGTTTTACTCCCAAATCACTCACATATTACTTCGCGAGAGATATTTATGGATACTGTTCTTATACACGGCTGGCTTAGTGAACATTCCTCAAATAGACTGACTGAAGTTACAACTGCACAGTTATAGGGTTGAATCTTAAATTCAAGGACACTAAACAGCACTTAGAAGAACACACACAAATCTTAGTCATAATAATACTGGATCTCTTATGCAAGAATTCCAATAAATAGACTATATAAAAGAATTATGACTGAAGGAAAACTCGGGTTTATAGTTTTAATCTAGGACTTTTCAGGTTACATTGTCAGCATAATGTCATAAAGCTACCAGCTTAATAGCAATGTCATTTTTGTAGAATCAATCAAGGAACTGCAAAATGAAACATCTACAACCCCACTGGAGAATAGATTGTACAACTCTCAAAATAAAAACTGCCAACTTGTGACAAGTTCTCAATACAAATGCAATTTAACACCTTAATGTGCAATGTGATAATACACATACAAGGTTATTAGTTAACACTACACTGTTACACACAAAATGGAACATGAGCAAAGGACTGAAACCTTTATGGCTCATTCTACACATGATTGCATTCCACTCTTAGAAAACAAATACATTTCAAATTCCACTATCCAGATGGCTGTTGGCAGTTTTTTTTAAAAATGTTCAATAAAATAGCAGCATGAAGTCATTTGCTAAAAGTGAAAATATGCAGATAGAGCCCTGTAAAGTGATTAATTTTAAGTAATTACTACATGAACTTCAACAGGTATACAATAACTACCAGTCTGATCTACAAAGTTGAGTATTTATGCCATCAACTCAACACAAGCAAGATCAATCAACTACAGTATTTATATGGTGTCAGTATCAATAATGCCATACAGAAAATTATTTAGATTAATTCTTGTATCACTATGAACTAACTATGCTTCAAAGACGCATGTACATTGATTTCATTTCAGTTATTGAGTTCAGCAATGCAGAAAGAATACAATCCCAACTGATCTAAAAATTTTAAAAAAATCCCCTCACAACAAAAAGAGCTAAGACATCTTTCTATCAGAACAGTGGTAAACAGTGTTTTCACAATGGAGTAGTAGGTTCTTTATCTGCACTTTGTCGAAATTCTGAGCTGCAAAGTGGGATCAGTAACATAAGTGCACACAAATGGTAACTCCCTGAAATTGACTTATTTGTGAAGTGGAAACTACTGTATCCCACAGGGTTACGAATTGGGGAGGGGTGAAGATCTTAATCGGTAACCTCCCCTAACCCTTATCAACATATTCCGAGGGAGAAACATTATTATTGGGCTACAATTGAACACATTTCGCCCATCCCCAGATTTGTTGTGTTGATTTAAAAAAGCGTGCAAACCTTCGAGAAAAAAAAGCTGAAAGCGAAACCAAAGGAGTTTCAAAAGATTTGCTGCATATTCCAAAAAGTGATCTGCAATCTGTCCTTTTTTTAAAAAAAAGATAGGGGGAGTGTAGCAAACGTACAAACGCCCACTTCAAAAATCAGTTAGGTTTAAAATGTTCAAACTGCGATAGGAATCTCCTTTGTACAGTAGATCCACAGCAAAATGGGAGAAAACACGATGGAAACTCTCAGGACGTTTGTGTAGGGGATGGGGCGAGGAAACCGGGACTTCAACGGGGAGAGGAGTTTGGTTTTCGAGCCGAGATTTAGGGCTCTGATCTCGACTCTGATCACTGACCCCTTAGCTACCACTCTCCCCAACCCTCCCCCACCCCCACCTCTGCCCCCACCCCTCCCCCGGCCCCGACCGCCCCCGGCCCCCACCCCTCCCCCGGCCCCGGCCCCCACCCCTCTGCCCCCACCCCCCCCTCGGCCCCGGGAACAATGCAGAAAGGAACTGAAACCGCAGGACGCGGCCTAACGTCGGCCCGAAAAGTCCGCTCCTGAACGGAAGGAAAACACAAACAAGAAATCACTTCATAACCACTCGGGGAACGTTGCAATAAACACTCAAACACTAACAATTGTGAGGCATAAATTCACTTGACCCCCCGCCCCCCCACACACACCACAGAAAACACTACACACTTTTCAATTAATGCAATTTAAAACCGCGACCGCGGAAACCTGGAGGTTCTCAAACCAAACTCTTCGGAAACTCCTCAGCGGCCACCAGGCGGAACCGACACTCCGCGAGAGACACAGAGGGGCAATGGGGGAAAAGACAGGAATGGGTAAAGGGGGAGGAGAGAAACAGGGGGGCGAGGGAGGAGACACAGGAGCAGAAGGGAGGTGAGGAGAGGGGAGGAGGGGAGGAGGGGGGAGGGGGGAGGGGGGGGAGGGGGGGAGGGGGGGGAGGGGGCGAGGGGGGGGGGGGGAGGGGCGGGGACCGGGATGGGGCGGGGACCGGGATGGGGCGGGGGACCGGGATGGGGCGGGGGACCGGGATGGGGCGGGGACCGGGATGGGGCGGGGGACCGGGATGGGCGGGGGACCGGGATGGGGCGGGGACCGGGATGGGCGGGGGACCGGGATGGGGCGGGGGACCGGGATGGGGCGGGGGACCGGGATGGGGCGGGGGACCGGGATGGGGCGGGGGACCGGGATGGGGCGGGGACCGGGATGGGGCGGGGGGGGGGGCGCGAGAGGAGGGGAGGGACCGGGATGGGGCGGCGGGGCGGGCGAGGAAGGAGGGGAGGGACCGGGATGGGGCGGGCGAGGAGGAGGAGGACCGGGATGGGGCGGGCGAGAGGAGGGGAGGGACCGGGATGGGGCGGGCGAGAGGAGGGGAGGGACCGGGATGGGGCGGGCGAGAGGAGGGGAGGGACCGGGATGGGCGGGCGAGAGGAGGGGAGGGACCGGGATGGGGCGGGCGAGAGGAGGGGAGGGACCGGGATGGGGCGGGCGAGAGGAGGGGAGGGACCGGGATGGGGCGGGCGAGAGGAGGGGAGGGACCGGGATGGGGCGGGCGAGAGGAGGGGAGGGACCGGGATGGGGCGGGCGAGAGGAGGGGAGGGACCGGGATGGGGCGGGCGAGAGGAGGGGAGGGACCGGGATGGGGCGGGGGAGAGGAGGGGAGGGACCGGGATGGGGCGGGGGAGAGGAGGGGAGGGACCGGGATGGGGCGGGGGAGAGGAGGGGAGGGACCGGGATGGGGCGGGGGAGAGGAGGGGAGGGACCGGGATGGGGCGGGGGAGAGGAGGGGAGGGACCGGGATGGGGCGGGGGAGAGGAGGGGAGGGACCGGGATGGGGCGGGGGAGAGGAGGGGAGGGACCGGGATGGGGCGGGGGAGAGACCGGGAGGGACCGGGATGGGGCGGGGGAGAGACCGGGATGGGGCGCGGGAGAGACGGGGATGGGGCGCGGGAGAGACGGGGATGGGGCGGGGGAGAGAAGAGGGACCAGGATGGGTTGGGAGAGAGAAGAGGAGGGACCGGGGTGGAGCGAGGGAGAGAAGAGGGACCGGGATGGGGCGGGGGAGAGAAGAGGAGGGAACGGGATGGGGTGGGGGGGAAGAGGAGGGACCGGGATGGGGGGAGAGAGAGGAGAGACCAACCGACCCGGATGGGGGGAGGGGAGAGAGAGAGAGGAGAGACCGGGGTGTTGGGGGGGCAAAGAGAGAGACCAGGGTGTTGGGGGGGCGAAAAGACCGACCGGGATATGGGGAGGGGGGGGAGAGAGAGTCCGGGATGTGGGGGGAGAGAGAGTCCGGGATGTGGGGGGAGAGAGAGTCCGGGATATGGGGGAGGGAGAGTCCGGGATGTGGGGGGGAGAGAGAGTCCGGGATGTGGGGGGAGAGAGAGTCCGGGATGTGGGGGGGAGAGAGAGTCCGGGATATGGGGGGGAGGGAGAGTCCGGGATGTGGGGGGAGAGAGAGTCCGGGATGTGGGGGGGAGAGAGAGTCCGGGATATGGGGGGGAGGGAGAGTCCGGGATATGGGGGGGAGGGAGAGTCCGGGATATGGGGGGGAGGGAGAGTCCGGGATATGGGGGGGAGGGAGAGTCCGGGATATGGGGGGGAGGGAGAGTCCGGGATATGGGGGGGAGGGGCGGAGAGCGACCGGGATCGGGGGGGGGGGGCGGAGAGCGACCGGGATCGGGGGGGGAGGGGCGGAGAGCGACCGGGATCGGGGGGGAGGGCGGAGAGCGACCGGGATCGGGGGGGAGGGGCGGAGAGCGACCGGGATCGGGGGGGAGGGGCGGAGAGCGACCGGGATCGGGGGGGGAGGGGCGGAGAGCGACCGGGATCGGGGGGGGGGGGCGGAGAGCGACCGGGATCGGGGGGGAGGGGGGAGGGCGACCGGGATGGGGGGGAGGAGCGGAGGGAGACCGGGATGGGGGGGAGGGGCGGAGGGAGACCGGGATCGGGGGGGGGGGCGGAGGGGGATCGGGGGGGGGGGGCGGAGAGCGACCGGGATCGGGGGGGGGCGGAGAGCGACCGGGATCGGGGGGGGAGGGAGACCGGGATGGGGGGGGAGGGGCGGAGGGAGACCGGGATGGGGGGGGAGGGGCGGAGGGAGACCGGGATGGGGGGGGGAGAGAGATGATCGAGTACTCGCCCCCACCCCCACCATTCAAACTCGCCCAGAGTTCGAAACCGTCGTCCACCAACGGTCACTCCGCCGTCGTCAGCACTTTTCGTGAGTTTTTATATCTAAAAATCACTTTTCCCCTCTCTTTCTTCTCGGTGTTTCCCCGCCCTCTCCCTTCTCCGCTCCTCGACATTTCCTGTCAGGAGGTGAGCGGCTGAAAACAAACTTTCTCGCCTCACCTGTTTTTTTTTAAAAAAGTCGTCCCTCTTTTTTTTAAAAAAACTGTTGTTTCTCCGCTTCTCCCCCTCGGCGCTCGGTTGACAAATAATCGGTGTGGAGAGAAGGGGGTTCTCGGTGCCTCTGGTTTCTACTCCTCCTCTCCTGCTGCTGCTCTCGGGTCGGTTTGTTTCTCGGACTCTTTAAACCCACGGTTCTGAGTCACCAGAAGAGGGAGAGGAGGAGATGGGGGGGAGAGAGAGAGAGAGAGAGAGGCGGGCGAGCGCTTCTGGGAAGTGGCCGCACCCCAGCGCTCCTCGCGCCGCCGACAACAACAAACAGCTCTAAAGTGATCGCTCTGCCGCCGCCGCCGCTGCAACAGGCGACTTCAGGCCAAGCAGCCAACCGAGCTAACACCTTACTCGTGAGCAAGGAGCAAGGAACCGGCCTCTTTTACCTCAACTCCGGTCGGTCGGTCGGTGGGAAGTGGCGCCGCCGCTGGGATTGGGAAGAGCGCGGTTGACCTCAGCGCCACACCCAGAGAGAGAGAGAGAGAGATTGCGTGTGTCATGGTGTCAGGTGCGGTGGGGGCGCTGAATTGGACAGGACTGGGGGGAGGGAGGAACGTGCCACCACACCACTCACACCCACCAAAGCCTTTTTTATATATAAAAGGAGAAAGCTCAAATCCCTTTAAAGTACAGTTCTTTTTCGAGCCTCAACTTTTTCTTCAGTTTCAGACTTTGCGCCCGGACCCAGTGTTTATGTTTCTGAGTTGCATCATTGTAAGGGCGGGTGGGGTGGGGTGGGGGGAGGGGGAGTTATATATAAAAATAAAAATCACTTTCCGATGGCTCCAGGCTTCTGTTTTCATGTTTACTTATGATTTCCTTTTTAAAACGTGGTGGTTTAATTGCAGTGTTTAAAGCAGTGGCTTTGACTCTTCAAGCACAGTCATATTGTAACTCAGAAGATAGATGTCTCAGTGACTTTTCTACCTTCACTAATTCTTATTCATAAGACATCAGGTTAGTGGATTGCCTGGTTAGCAAGGAATTCAAATGTAACTTTGTTAGAATCACTGAATATCAAACACAAATATTTTATTGCTTTGAAATGCATCCGGTGAATTAAAACACAAATATCAAATAATAATAATAATCTTTTGCATTTAACATAGCGCTTTTCATGTCTTCTAGACGTCTCAAAGTGCTTCACAGAATATGCTTTAAAGTGAGTTGACTGTACATTTATGTGAGCCCAAAAAAATGCAGGAAGTCCTTTTTAATCGAAGTTCCATATCAGCCTACTTATATTTATATTTTAAAGACCTGCAGGTACTTATATACCTTGTTTGTGTGTTTGTCACCTCCCGCTTGGATTACTCCAACCCGCTCCTCGCAAGTTGTTGTTATTGTAGTATTGAGCTCAAATAGGAAACAATAAGAATCACTGATAAAAATAGTGCAGATTTGACATTGAACCTAATCCACTTTTGTACAACCACAACATCACATTTATATAGTGCCTTCCACATCAGAAGGATGTCCCAAGGCACATGCATATGTGGACCTTGTGTCAGACATCTGGCTAACCAACTGACCACCATCAAAAAATTGTGTACATTACATTACTATAAACTTACAAACCTATAGAATTATGGAGAAATTATGATTTAGAAGAATTTTAAAAATTGTGGACAGGCATATGTGGAGAAAGACAAGTGATAATCATTGTAACATATTGAGGAGCGCAAAAGAGCCTTGTAATATAATTGTTGCCATTAGAAAATTAATTAAAAATAATAATTTACTCTTCAGTCCTTTTGACTATTGAGGCTCCAATTTGCACCTATTGATTGTTTGAAACAACCTGTTTTTGTTCCACAGTAACACACACCTATATCTATAATTTGTTTTTAGTATTTGTCAGATATTTGTATTTGTCAAAAATGTGTTTCATTGCCTTCTTCTGGGATTTCAGAGCTTATCTGGCTATCCCTCTATTTAACATTAAAGCAGTATATTTTAATAACTATAGTGTCAGAAAATAATATAAATGAATACTGCAGAGTCGACTTGTATCTTGTTAAGACATTTAGTTAGTTTGTGCTTAGGGTAATTTTGTGTCTTACTTCGATTGCAATATAAAAAAACAAGTAAAAGCTATTTGTAATCACCTTTTACCCCAGGAAGCCCCTTTGAAGTTCATAACAGGATTTCTCATTCAAACAATTCATGTTGTGAAGAAATTGTGTCTAATAATCAGAGATGCTGATAAGTTTTCAGATTCAATTCTGTTACCACTGTTGTCCAATGACCTGAAACATAATAGGATGTATGTGATTTTTCTTTTAAATACACACAAAAATTTGGTTGGTAAAGGAACTCTTGAACTTCTATAGGACAAAACAGTTGATGACTTTGAACAAAAATACAGTAAATTCCTGATGGCTGATTTTGGTATGTCACTATTTGGTATGTCACAATAACCACTTGGATGAGACATCAGAGAGTGGCTGGCACTCCTGATTTCATGCAGGAAGGAGGAGTTGGGAAAATAACCTTTTTAGGACCTTCCAGTTTTAACATGCTTCACTGTGGTTCAGTAGGTTGCTGGTATCACAAATAAATTGTTGAGAATTTTTTAAAAATCAAAAGGTAGAAAATGTTAATGATTGATTTTCCCCTTCCTATTTTTAAGTGCCAGTGATCTGCTAACTTCTCCAGGCAGTCATTTATCTTGTGCTAGCATAGACAGTAGAGGTAAGGTATTCCAATGCACACTAAAAATAGCATTTGAATTTGAATGTGTTAATCAAGGCGGAATGTAAATAATATTTGTTCAGTGTCTAACCCATATTAAAACCCATTACCATGTTTAAAAGCATATAAACCAATCTACTGAGAGCTCACATATGTATCAGCATTTCCTTTGTCTCGTATGGAGTGCACACATTTCCCAAGGGGACGCATCCCTTCCTAGCGGGATGTGCCCTGCTTATCTAATCCCTGAGAATATAGCAACTGCTAAGGCTTGGGGAGCCCAGAAACTACATTGGGGTTCTGCTGGAGTTTAACCAACTAAAACTGTCATTATCATAGTGAACACTGGAATGTTTCCTGCTGCTTGTCAGCTTGAATCATCCTTCATTAAAAAAAATACTTACAGATGGATATTCTGGGACATGCATCAATCCATTTTTAAATATATCACTGAAACGTTCCAGGAACAAATTTGGATATTGTTGAGCAATGATATATTGAATAATTACTGCCTATGTTCAAAAAGGTCGTATGTGCTCCTTTTAGTGTCTAAATTTTCTACCAACCACTCTACATTGTGCCCACAATATACACAGTCAATTCACTTTACAGTAAATTCTTGAGATGTCTCAAAGACATGATAAGGCACTATATCAAATGCAAGTATTATTAAAGATTTCTCAAAGTTATAAACAGGAATTTCTGTACATAAATGGAACTCTCAGTAGTTTAGATCAGATACTCTTAAGCTTGACCATGCATGTCAGACAAAATAAAGATTGTAACCACATAGCAAGTAGCAGCCATTAAAATATCACTTGTTTTATGGTTAAATGCACATACGTTTTGGTGCTACTGATGTTTTAATAGCTGGATATATTCTGTTGGAGAAGGAGCTGGAGCAATTTGCTCCCAAAGAACAGAGACTTCATGGAATGTTCACATAGGCAGGTAGATATTACTCTGAAAGATGATGTACTGACCTTTTTGCAGAGGAATAGTTGTGCGTGAAGACAACATTCATCATGCCATTGTGAAGCAAGTTAAGATTTCTGTAGCTACACCAGGAGACCAGCAATCACCACGGTAGCATGTAAGATTGATCTATCAAGTGTTGATGGACAGTTTTCCAATGATATTTTGTAATTGCTGCATCTAGGAACAATGATCTGTCAGTATCATACATAAGAAAAATTAGCACATTTTGAGCCACATAATAAACCATAGAATACTGTGAAACTCATGCAAGGATTATTATCATTAAGCTACCACTGTGATCGAATAATCATTTGTGTTTTGAGCCAATAGAATGGACTGTTAGGAAGACAGACCAACTCTCCATATTTTTATTGATTTTTTTCACAATAAAATTTATTTTTCCTGTGATTTTGTGGGTTTGCAATATTTGTAAAAGATCGTTTCAGCCACAAAATATACAGTCAATTCACTTTACAGTATATTCTGTGAAGCACTTTGAGACATCTTGAAGATGTGATAAGGCACGATATCAAATGCAAGGTTCATCATTATTAAGGTTTTCACCTTACTGACGGATTTGCATATGCCGGATAGTCCTCCCATCGATTGTTGGGTGTTGCTGAATGACTCAGGTATTTGGCCTGCTGATTGATGCAATACAGAAGCTTCCTGTACAATTTGTTCCAATGTTAATGCTATCTGTCTCTGTTATCATCTGTCTTGCGCTGATGACTTGAACCCTAATGGAATAACTGAAACTGGCTGATTGTTTTGAAGATCAGTTGCATTACGATCTGAGGGATCTGCAGTAATTGCATAATAATAATCATAATCCTTGCATTTGATATAGCGCTTTTCACGTCAGGAGGACGTCCCAAAGCGCTTCACAGAACACAATGTAAAGTGAATGACTATATTTGTGGGCGAACGCGGCAGCCAATTATATAATAATAATAATAATAATCCTTGCATTTGATATAGCGCTTTTCACGTCGGGAGGACGTCCCAAAGCGCTTCACAGAACACACTGTAAAGTGAATTGACTGTATATCTGTGGGCGAACGCGGCAGCCAATTGCGCACAGCAATGTCCCACAAACAGTCGTAGATTGAAAATGAACAATTTATTATTGTTTTTGGTTTTGGAGGGACTATTATTAGGCTCTGTGTGGAGTAAGGAAACTTGCCCAAGGTTTCGCCCTCTGCCTGGAATTGAACTCAGGTCTCTCGCTTGCAAAGCGAGTGCTCTAACCACTGAGCTACAGGACTCCACAAGAAAGCATAGAGGCTTTATGGATTTCAGCTATATTTTTGCGGCACTTACAGATAAGGAACATTGTAGTCAGATCTTAAGCACAAAATAAAAAAACAGAATTTTTAATTTTTTTCTGGGGGCTATTTTTTCTGTCTAAAATACAAGAGAAAATTGGGGAAAAGGATATCTGACACAAAAAAACAGGCAAATTTGGTGAAAATTGGGATCACTGCCTTGCCCATTCTGGGAATGCACGCATGCATATCAGTGGCCTGTG